AGTCCTGATCCTCAGGCTGTGTTTTACTGGATTTTGCCGTTCTCCTGAGGGGGGTGTATGCTGGGATGATGAAGCATCATCATTCTCAGTGGAGAAGCAGATCAGGCTGGGAGAGAAAGAGTGGAGAAGATGTGTCCTTCTAATAGGCTGAGGAATCGGTCATCAGCCTAGCCTACGACAACAAGAAACTGAGAAACGTGTGATGTCTGTAGCGATTTCATACTGAAGTGACAGCTTCACAGCAGAGAGGAGAACAAAAGTTTGACAACAACTACATGATTGGCTTTGATGATTTTGGCAAAATCTGATTGGTAAACTAAAGAGTGAACCCCCGTCAGCTGTTTAGAGAGGCATGAAGAGAGAGGAGCATGAAGGAAGCGAGAGAGAGAGAGAGTTGTGAATGACTAATGCATAAATATAGTCTAACCTGGTTGAATTCACACTGAGCTTCATGTGTATTATCAATGTTTTTTGTTCATACTGGAAGCTTGTGTTTTCTTCCCTCCTGCGTACAAAATATGCCCTTCTCATGTAGGAAGAACAAAGTGGACCGCCACTACTCAGGGTGGGGGTAAAGGGGTTGACATGACAAAATCATTTTAAGTTTAAAATCTTTACTGTACATTGTATAATTTCTTGAGATCAAAATAACGGAAACCAAAATCCCCAACCTACTAAAGGCTGATTAAATAAAATGAAACCACAGGCAACTCATAACGTGACTCTGTAGTGTGTTGGGCCCCCACGTGCCCATATGCTTTGCCGACAACATCTGGGCATGCTCCTGATGAGACCGTGCATTGTGTCCTGGATGATCTCTGATGCATAACGTCCTAGAGGTTCTCAACTGGATTCAGGTCTGGGGAACATGAGGGCCAGTCAATGGCATCAATGCCATCGTCATCCAGGAATTTCCTACACGTGTTATCCGGCACCAGGAAGAACCCCAGGGCCCACTGCACCAGTGTAAGCTTTGACAATGGCTCTGAGGATTTCAATCCGGTACCATTGGTCAGGGTACCATTGGCTAGCACGTGGAAGTCTGTGTGGAAGGATATGCCACTTGTTACAGCTACCAAGGGCAGCAATCTGTGTATTTCACTGTTGCTACTGTCTTGCTCCCCATGTTAATGAGGCTGTGGGGTTCCTGGTTGAGGATTGGCTGATTCCCAGGAAGTTCTGCCTGAAGCAGTCTCCTACATCTGAGACCCCAACTGGAGCGGTCAACCCTTCTCCAATCCCTTAACTGCTTCAAGATCACCTTCAAGCTCCTCTGGTTTAAATAGGCAGGTCTACTACTGTGTCAAGGCAGCAACAACTCATCCTGTAGTTTACCATTGTGTTGACCATTGTGTTTAGCTGTCTGTCACTTGAGGTCTGGCAGAACACATCTTTTGTTAGCTGTAAGCTAAATCCCTGTGCGTGTTGTCAGCTAGACACTTATAGGGTATAATAGTGTTTAGTGAGAGTTGGAATCATTCCTAGTTGAACTAAGTGACTTGTTTTATGTTTGGTCTGCAGATTTGGGCTAGGGATCAGCTTACCTCTCTTGCACACTATACCTTGTTAGATACTTGTTGTATTAGTTCACTAGGTTTAGAGGTGCTCTGCTCCATGTGTTTTATGAAACAACGGTTAGAGAGATTTTGGTTGTTATTTTGTTTGTAGTTAGTAATCCCTTATTTAGAAGGGATCTCTTTGATTTGACTCGTTCGTTTATGCTTACGTCTCCTCTACCCCTAGCGAGCAGGGACGTAACACTCTGCAGACCATTACTGACCCACTGCCAAACCATTAATGCTGGATGATGTTGCAGGCAGCATAACGTTCACCACGGCATCTCCAGACTGCAAATCGAGCTGCACGGTGCCGGGCTGTGACCACAGATCCCACTAGAGGTTGTCGGGCCCTCATGCCACGCTAATGGAATCTATTTCTGACAGTTTGAACCGAAACTTGCACACCAGTAGCACGCTGGAGGTCATTTTGTAGGGCTCTGGCAGTGCTCTTCCTGTTCCTCCTTGCACCTTGCTGGGTTGATGACCTTCCACTGCCCTGTCCAGCTCTCCTCGTGTAACGGCCCGTCTCCTGGGATCTCCTCCACGCTCTTGAGAATGTGCTGGGAGACACAGCAAACCTTCTTACGGCATGTATGGATGTGCCATCCTGGAGGAGCTGGACTACCTGTGCAACCTGAATGGGCTGCAGGTACTGCCTCATGCTACAAGTAGTGACAAGGACACTAGCAAAACCAAAACTAGAGATAACAACTGTCTGTGGCCCCCACCTGCAGAACCATTCCTTTTTGTGGGTTGTCATGCTGTTGCCTTTCCAGGGCACCTGTTGTCCGTTTCATTTGCACCAAATCAGGTGAAACTGATTCACAATTGCTTATGCTTCTTAACTGGACAGATTGATATCCCTGAAGTTATACTGTGATAACATTGGCAAGTGAAAGAGACACTTTCTACAGATCTGACTCGGTGATTTCTTGATAGATGTGATCTATGCCACCTCATGATTTGAAGGAACAAAAACAATCTTGGCATAACATTAGTCCTATTGTTATTGTTATTATAATCATTAACATTACTACTGTTACCATTAACACTACTATAAATATCTATACCATTTTTCATTTAGTCTATAGCAACATCACCTTTACTGTCTGTAGCTCTGTGTGTATATTGTGTAGGCTGCCTCCCTCCCCTCTCTCTCTCCTTCCATCCCTCTCTTTTTCTCTCTGTTCCTCTCCTGCCCTCTCTCTCTCTCTCTCTCTCTCTCTCCCTCTCCCTCTCTCTCCTTCACCCCAACCGGTCGAGGCAGATGGCCGCCAACCCTGAGCCATGGTTCTGCTCGAGGTTTCTGCCTCTTAAATGTTTTTCCTTGCCTCTGTCGCCTAGTGCTGCTCTTGGTGGGAACTGTTGGGCTTCTGTAAATAACATCACAGAGTATGGTCTAGACCTGCTCTTTTATGAAAAGCGCTGTGAGATAACTGTTGTTGTGATTTGGCGCTATATAAATAAAATTGAATTGAATTGAATTGAATAACCTGTAATGTTTTAGCAACCCTGTTTTTGTAGAGGTTTAAGATTTACATACTTTGCTACTTTACTCCTGTTATCATGATTTAAGAAGTGATGGTTAATTAAGAATATAGTGAAGTAAAGCCAACTTAACAGTATCTATGCACCAAATGTTGATGCAAAGTATCTACTTGACATTAAAAAACCTTGGTGACACGGTCAAAATCAAATTTACAATAGTGTTACTGATCTTCAGAGGCCTTTTATGTCAAGCTTTATCAGCCTACAAGTCTATTAACACAAACTCTTACTGTCTAAAATTGTCCAAGTATCTTAAGTGGGTAGGGAACTTGAAATCCTAAAGTCAAAGTGGAGAAAAATAAGTTATCGAGCCACTTTTATTAAGTTATTACAACTTGAATTTTCTTGTAAACCCATTAACAATTAAATTTGAGTTTAAATTACATGCAAAATTAAGTATGCAATTACCAACATAATTATTTGAACACAACTCATAAAACAACTTAGAATGTTTATCTAAATTAATAAATTAGATTTGTTTTTTGCATGCAATTAATCAAATGGTGGTAACAGGTCCCCTGAATTTATAAAAACATACTGTATGACCAGCCCATTGCTATACTTGTCACTATGGTGACAAACAGCACTTCTCGTATTACTGAGGTATATGAAACCTAAACCTTAAACTCAGATACACTTGTGCAGAAATAAAACCTCATAATAAATTTGTATATTTAAAACATTTCAATAACCTGTAATAGACCACATTTACACCAGTATGGCCTTAACCTCTGAAGCTTGCTGTTTGTCAGTCAAGTCAGACACTTTCTGGATAGACTGGTTTGACATTAGCAATCTGTTTCATCTTTTAAATCCCTTCTAAAAACACACTTGTAGTAGTAGTTATAGTAACACTTATGGACAGGCTTTTAAGTGAATTCACCTCCATAGGAGCATGGAATCACTTTTTTCTTTACCTCATATATTACTTACCATTTTATTCTGTCTTGCTGCTGGTTTGGGTTTCTCAGTATTTGTTTTGGATACGAAGATTAGACTTTGTGCTTTTATTAGATTCTTATCCTTCATATATTCTTGGAAGATTTTTGTAACATCATCAATATTGTATTTTATCAACAACCAAGTATGACTATCTCATACTCCATGACTTTTTTACTTCATCAAACAATTTTGTGGTCAGTTTTAGGGGCAAAAACAAGAAAAGGAAACAGCCCGCCTCTTTACATTGAGAGCACTCTTCCTGGTCAGAGTTGAGTTACGGACTTTGCAGAGCTTCAGTCATACACACAATGATGAACTTCCCTTTGATAACAGCTTTAATTCTCTGCAGCCTCAGTAAGTACTGGCACTGAATAACTCTCATCACTTTATTTGTCAACTTTGTTGAATTCTCTTAACTAAAATGATTGACTTATTATTAAATGTATTATAAGGTATTCTTTCTTCCAATGTTAATTCGTTACCTTATTTCTTATCTGCTGTCTGTTTCAGGCTGGATCTCTGTCTCTGTTTCTGAGACTCAGACTGTGGAGGTCCAGCTTGGTGAAGAGGTCACACTGTCGTGCTCCAACACGTCCCCATCTGACTCTTTGACGTTATGGTTCAGAGTGATCAACAGAACCGAGGCCAGATGTGTCTCCACTATGAGCAGCTCTAACAGTGATCCTTTCTACTGTGATGGATTTAAAAATGAAAAATTTAACATGAGCTCCAACATCTCCACTGTCTCTCTCAAAATGAAGACAGTGGATATTTCTGACTCTGGGCTGTATTTCTGTGGATTTTACATAGAGGGACGGGTGAATTTCAGAGTGATACATTTAAATGTTGAAGGTAAGATTATTATAAAATCCTGTTCTTCTGTTTTGTCGTTTTATATCTGCAATTTTAATAATTGCCCTAAAAGAACATATGTGTCTACTTAATTATTATCAAAACAAGAGACCGATAAGTATTGTTGAAATTTTGTTACAAGGCAGTGATGAATCGCATGATGACGTTGACAGAAAGTCTAAAAGTAAGATCCTCTTTAATCTTTTTTTTAATCTGCAGATTCCCTAGTCATTTTTAATATAAAAACAGTATGGCTCACATTTGTCAATTTGATGTAAGCACTTCTCAAGCCAGCAGAGAGAGAAAACAGTGTCTAATTATATTATCTTTTTTTAACAGAGTCAATAACAAAGCTGATGAGTGTGATCCTGGGCGGTCTGACTGTTTTCCTAGTAATGGTCATCATCTGTCTGGTTGTTAAAATCGGGAAACTTCAGAAAGGTACTTTTTTAAGCAACTGTTTTTGTCTTGTACTTGAATTATTCTTTTTTCACTTCTTTAAAGTTCTGTGAACATGTTTGTCACCTTATTTGGCATATTGTCTTTGTCATTCAGCTGCCAGTGTAGAAGAGAATCCACAACAGCATGCGGTGAATCCTTTATTATAATTTACTTGTCTTAGTTTTGTCATTTAAAATTATGTCTAGTCTTTCTTTAGTCTTTTCTCTAAATTTTAGCTTGGTAAGATAAGTGACTATAAATATTGTCTTTAACAGAACCTGGGCTCTGATGACCTGAACTACGCAGCAGTGAATTTCAGTGCAAAAGCAAGAAGAAGAGAAGTGGAGCCCAATGTTGTGTATTCTGCTACTAGATAGACTGAGGAATCAAGAAATGCTGTTCAGGATGTAACTGATGCTTTGTCATGTTAATCTGCAGTTGTGCTTTTGTGTGGGTGGTGGACAGCAGAACTTTTCAAAAATAAAAATAAATACAAATCTTCTGCTAGGTTTTACCTATTTCAATTGCTGACTTAATAGTATACATATAACAGTGAAGGTAATAAAGATACAAAGATACAGTAGCTATAAAGTTTGCCCCATGTGTGTTGTATGTACTGTATGTGTGGTGAGAAAACTGCACCACGGGAAGACAAGCCTTCAGCTGGGTTCTATTTTCTCCAGTGTGTTTCTTTCACAATGTTACCACCGACAGCCACAAAACACACCAAATAAAAATATTACTGTTTGTTTTTTTTCTTACATTTATTGAGGCCTGTTGCTGAAAGACTTGTGTAGAACTCAAACACGCCGTGCTATAACACGGATAATAACACCGCTGTTATGACCCATTTGCTGTAAAATATTTCTCTCAGGAAAAACAATTGTGTATTTTAAAGGACAGCAACTTCTAGCATGGACACCTGCAACAAAGTACATTTACTCAAGTATAAAATTGAGTTACTTCACTAAAGTCCTTTAATGCTAGTTTTAATTGATTATTTGAGAATATAATCAGGAGATTAATCCATAATAAAAATAATTTGTTGCAGTCCTATATCAAATAGTAAAAAATAGCTCCACCTTAACCAACCACAACAATAAATTCCTGCTTTAACAGGAACAATAACGTAATGATTTAATATTTAATAGTGTAACAGTCACAGGGGCTTGCAAAACTTTACTATATTCTGAATTAACCATCTCTAACCAGAGAGCTTTTCTAGGAAGCAAAGTTATACAAACATTATACACCAGATAACTTCTTAAATCTTGATTACAGCAGTAAAGTAGCCCTTCACTTCTCAAACAAAAAAGGCTTCATACATTTTTTAATCTTTTGAACTGTGAATAAAGCTGTGCAAGCTAGTGTCATGGTTTGGGGTTTGGGGGTTTTATTTTCCTGTTGTGATTTTGTTGGTTTGGTTTTCATGGTTTCTGTAGTTTATCTGATCATGTCCTGAGGCCTCACTTTTAGAACTTTATGCAGAAAAGACTACTAAAGGTTGCATATGTACAAAACACAGGAAGTGCATACGCACAAAAATATTCTGATTTTTAAAACATTTACATTTATTCGTTTATCTGACGCTTTTACCCAAAGTGACTTACAATTGCTAAGTATATCAAAGGTCGCACGCCTCTGGAGCAACTAGGGGTTAAGTGTCTTGCTGGATTCCACATTGGTGGATGAGTTACAGTGAGGATTGGACCCTGGGTCACCAAAGGTATGTATGTTAGCCACTGCGCCATTACAACCCCAAAACAGTGTGCAGGTCCTACGCCGATTTTCCTTTATAAATCACAATCAACTTGAATTCAGTCAGGACAACTTTCATCAAAGACTGATATTGTGGCATTGTAGTTGTGTTTGGCAGTATGGTGGTATGGGATATCACTTCCCTGCCCATCCATGTGCATATATGGAAAGCCAGAGACCCATTACAACCCCATCGCCCTTCCACATGCCTACGTTAAAACCCATAGGCAGGGAGAGAACACCTCTCTGCCCTTCCACGTGCTTACATGGAAAAGCCATGAGGCAGGGAGAGCGCCTCTCCACCCATCTCTGTGCATACATGGAAGGCCCAAGGCAGAGAGCAGCAGTAAGGACAAAATGAAGCCTGAGGCAAAGAGCAGACCCCCCAAGACGACTACACCCTTCAAGACTCCCTGGCCCTCCATTAGATATATGGAAGATGCCAGCAGGAGGAGCTAGCAAAGCAGAGAGCTAGCAAAGAGATAGCCAAATGACTTTAGGTGTGTTTGACTTGTGTGGTGCTGGACAGCACTAACTTACCGTGACGTGCTGGACTTACATAAGCATGCTCGTTCAAAATTGTGTACACTTTCGCAGGCACTGCAAAATGTCACCATGTCACATGATATGAAAACTGTGAGGCAGTTGCAGTCGCTGTGTCTGGCTAAATCAAAATAGGAGACATAGCTTAGAGTTTAGATTTGTAGCATTAGCTTTGTAGCATTAGTGTTTTGCTTTGTAGAGTTATAGGCTTTCAGACAGAAAGCAACGCCGCACTATGAAGCTCATTATTTTCAAAGGTCGTTTGTTGCTGTGTCGGGCGCAGCGCACCACTTGATGAGCTTGCACAAATCAATTCCTATCTAAAGGGGCTATTAGCGTTTAGCTATGTAGCATTAACGTCATAGCGTTTAATTTTGTAGAATTTGCACTGTAGCGTTTGCATTAGCTTTGTAGCGTTTAGTATTACCTCATATGGTTTGACATGAGTTAGCTTCCCAACTATGTTAATGTTAAGGTGATTAATGTGACTTTAAATTATTGCAAATAAATGACACTTGGCAACCAAGTCAGGCCAGCTAAGAGCCCCTGAACCAATCCTGCAATCAAATATTTAACAAGAGCTGTTGGGTTGCTTTCCCAGGGCCTTTCCCAGCTCAGGGAAAGATCGTGGCAGCAGAGGAATGAATGGGACCCCTCCCTGGAGGAACTGGACTGCAGGAGGTTGTCGGGTCGGAAATAAGGACCGGCCGGTCCAGTGGAAGACCTGGTCCCTACCCTAACAAACGTATTAAACTCAATAAAATTACTCTATTAGCTTTCTTCTTTAGTCAAAAACTGCGTAGTCAAAGACTTCACTGGAGACTGGAGGTGCAAAAGAGTTTATTCCAATAAAGGACAGATAAACCCGAGTAACATCCCTGCAGGTCTCAGGATGGAACTGAGCTGGTGGTCAGCGAACATCGCCTTATATTCACCTTAAACTCCACCTTATCTCCTCCTTCCAGGTGGGCGTTACACCTTAACTCCACCTACAATGTTCGCTGACCACTCCTCTCCTTTGGTGAATTTCTTATCCTCTGCTCCCATCTAGTGGCCGTTTTCACGTACTGTTTTACCAAATTAACCCTTTCACTAATGTCACAATTTTCAATTCTTTTTAGCTGTTATTATGCATAATTATAGTTACAATTTATCCTTCTTTATATTTTTAACATTACTGGACTAGAAATTCACCAATATGTTTCAACTTCAGTATCACTGTATTTTTTTAAAAGTTATACAAGCATAATTTGACACCATTAAATATACTTACTTAATAATACTTACAATTGTATTTTTTTAAATAATTAATAAGGAATAACATATTTGATAAATGCATAAAATGATTCAATATGGAATTACATGATTCAACAATGCCAACCATGAGGGTGCTGTGTCTCATACAAAGTTTAGTTTCGGCAATGCAAAGCTTGGTTTCATGCAGTACCTGGCCGTACCTTGCAGTACTAGGCGCCATTAATCACAATGTGTCATGATCTCATTCTTGGCCTCAGTTTGCCAGGAGATCCTGGCGTATGTGACTTACAGCAGGTGCCCTACTACCATTGTGTATGTTACGGTTGGCTAGGTTTTGCCTGCGCTGCCTGAGCAGCTGCTCTGCTCATGTTGGCACATTGAAAAGGCACAGGTTCATAAACACACAGAGTATAAGAATAAAATATGAGTTGGTACACACTTATTAAACATTTAGTAATTCTTCTGAGTTATACAACACTAGTACTGCATGGTGAGTTTTAGTTAAACTATTGCAAACCAACAGTTAAACTATTGCAAACCAACAAAGCAAACCAACAAAGTGTACAAACATTTCAATTTGTGTCAACCAATTTATGTCAATTTAAGGAAAGAAACACCAAGGAATTATTCAACAAGGTAATGCCATGGACGCCGTCGGAGTGATGGCATCGCCTGTGCCTGAGAGAGAAAAACAAAATAAAAAACAGCCAACTGTGCCAAGAAAACTTAACTTTCGGCGAGCGTAGAGTTCTAGAGCTTGCTAGTGAGCGATGACTGGATGCTGGACAAGCTGTAGAGATGGTTATCTACCGTGGAGTTGGCTGATGGGCTGGGCCTGGCGGAGCAGCGGCGAAGCTGGACTACAGTTGCAGGAGTAGTATTCTCTTTGCTCGGCTGCTTCCCATAGAATTGAGGAGTTCCTCTTTTTTGGATTTTCCCTGTAGATGATGTTTTTGTTTGGAGTTACTTTTACACTGTAAAACACTGTAAAGCCTACTTTACTTGTTTAACAAATCTTTGTTGGACTGCAATTCCCTTGGCTCTGTCTGCATTTGGATCCACGCCTCTGTTTTCTGCTTCTGCACTCTACTACCCATGACACCTTATTTATGATTAAATTGCACTGCATTCTATGCAAAAACAGATATTGCCATTTGTGTTTATTATCTTAAATAATGTTTCTTTTTGCATGTGCTGCAAATGACCTTAAAAGCTTTATTTATTGCGCATTGCAAATTAATCAAACAGTTTGTTTGTTTATTCGGAAAGGAAACAACCATCGTCTCACCCTGTGTATAAGTAGCGATGAGGCCTGGCATTTGGCTCACAGTTTTTCTTCCGGACTATAGGTAAGAAGTGTCTTGTTATAGAGATTCTACCTGTTGGATGTACAGGAGCTGGACGGCTCTGTGTCTTCTCACAAATAATCTAGTATATATATATATATATATATATATATATATATATATATATATATATACTTCAAGATTGTCTTGTACATTGTATTAAATTATGATAATAATTTAATACAATGTACAAGACAATCTTGTATTAAATTATGATAATAATTTAATACAATGTAAGTGTAACCAGAAAATCTGATATTCAGCTTATTTGTCATGCAGTCAAGACATGGGTAAAGAAGGTTGGGTCTTAACCCTCAGATGTATAATCCATTTTTACCCTTTTTAGGTTTGCATTTTCTCCTTGTGTAACCTCAACTCTGCAGGGCATAATTAATCTATTAATTAATCTACATGTTTTTTTCAGGACAACCTAGGCTATTAGAATATGTAAACTGCAATGATGTCACATGAACGTATAGTTATATGACCATAAAGACAACAAGAAAAAAAAAAGGAAATTAAATCTCACGGACCTTTATTCAAATTACATTGAAAAATTTAATGAACAGCATTTTTGGTTGCTCAAATTGTTCCCTCAGGTCGTAACAAAATTAACATTTGAACCAAAACACATCAAAAACTATTTACATTTTTACGGAGAAGTCCTTCCGTTTTCCCCAGTTTTTTTCCACAGTCTTATGTGTGCCAAGTCACAAAATAGTTCCTGTCTGCAATGAGACAGAGGGCCAAATCACACTCCCTACACTTCCAGGGGTAGACTGACTGACCTGAGTGCACCTGAGTGCACTGTAGAAAGACCAGAAAGACAGTCTGGAGGGGGCCAGACCCCCTCTTGCTAGCATCAGTTTGTTCTGAGATTGCCACGGATAAGTGCACACTCTGTTCCTTGGCGGTAGCGACTGCAACTGTGACACCACACAACTGGACTGTCAGTTCCTTCCCTTGTGGGGGTCGGCTTCCTCCTGCTTCTCTCTGCAAAGCTCCTTGTAAAGGAGGAACTATTTGTGGCTGCAATGTCCAGGAAGCGGAAAAACAATGTCTGGTACCAGCGCATGAACTTGTGGTGTACAGAGTAGTACTGTATAAGTTGGTATGACAGATCAACACCTCCCATGTGCTTCTTATATTGCGTGACAAGTGTTGGATATGAAATGGATTTGGTGGTCCAGCTGCCATTCTGTATTTTGACTCTTCTCTGCACAGTGCTTCCAGAGAATGCCTGGTGGATTGTGGAGCATACTGACACCTCGCATGTGTCCATGCACTTCACAAAAACCTTTGGCTCATCATGGATCCACCTGATGAAGCCCCTAGGATTCTTTTTTTGCAGAGCATTTGAGGGGACATTCTTTTTTTATTTACTCTGTATGTACATGCTCCAATATTGAGGATAAACAGATCTTTGAACAGTCTTGGACTGAGTATTCACATACAGATGAAAATCACTGCCCAGGAATGCTGGATTTATCAGGGACATGACAGAGTCATACGCAAGTCCAGCGCCTGAGGCAAACTGTGACTTTCCAGTGTACAGTTGACTTACACATCACTCCAGTGAGTCTGAGGTGTAGCCATTGCTGCTGTCAGCCAAAACAAAGAGTTTAAAACCCTGCTTGGTATGCTTTGCCTTCATATATTGAGTCCTTCCAGTATGACCCTTTGTTGACACCTCCTCTTGTCAATTGAAATGTTCTGCCTGGGGTGGTAAAATGCTTTGCAAGCATCTTTGATGGTGTCCATAAGGGGCTTCAATCGAAACAGACGATTCTGATCTGGTGTCCCCTTCTTTCTGTTATTCTCAACATCTTTCAATCAGGATGTTCCAAGATATGACTATATCTAACTTTATCTGTCCATATCTATCTCTCAATCTCAAATGTGAAAAAACCTCTGTAGTAATATTACGACCCTGGCTCAAGGGAGGCAACATTGAGGAGTCACAACTGTCTATCAAAATAAGGTTTATTGCAAACAAAGTTAAACAGACAAAGAACAATGGTGGCTGCTGCTGACAATGCTGCTAACAACTATATTCATGCAATGCGCCCAGGATGCACGCCCTGTGTCAGCGCCATGCGCAACAGAGACTCTACACATTATTTATTACATTTACGCTATTCTACTCATTATTTCCGTATTGATTTCAATGTTTGTATCACTGCATCTTTGTACAGTTTCACTTGTGCCAAATCTTCAAATTGCTTCTGGTACTTAATGGAGCCCCTCTTTAGGGGACAGTATGCTTTTGAACATCGCAAGCATGTACACAAGGAAATGTGTAGAGTTTGCACAGAAGCCCCGCTGCCATAGGTGCTGCAGTTCTTTCTAGGCACCTTAAGAGGAGTGAGATTTTCCAGCACAACTTTAAACGATTGTAGCTGCCATGGCCATATCCAACCTGTTGTCAAGTAATGGATAACTGGACATATTCGCTGTTGTACAAGCCCAAGAGTTTTCTATGTTTCAGTGAATGCCTGATGGTTTACAAGGGAAACACTTGAAGATTTCCAAGTTTTAAAAAAGACAATGGCTTCTGGCATAGCCTTGCAAATATGTCAGAGCATCAAATTCAGTTTATATGCATAGCACATAAAGCTAAAAGGCTGGTGACAGCAACAACACAGCGTCTCAATAATTTCCCCAGCATGTACAATTGTTCCACAACATTGCCTTGTTTTAAACTGTCTCTGTCCATTGAGGTCTTGTGTCCTCAGTTTGCTTTGTGATCTCTGAAGCTGTGCAGTGCTCGCTTCCAGTTTGAGTTTCGAATCATTTATGCTGAAAGGACCTTCTTTGTAGTGCTGTGCATGTCAGGTCAACTGGGCCTGCCTTGTTTATCTCATCTGCTCTCCTCTGATGGGTCTAAAATTAAAAAATAAAGGTGAAGGAAAATACAATTTGTAAATAATTATTTCCTCGAGTAGCAAAGATTATGTTGTGCCTGATAACCACATAAACCTGACATTGCAAGTACCTTTCCATCTATAACATAACAGGTCTGAATGGGATGATACATGGAATAGCTTTTATAATGGGGCAACATACTTTACCGGCCTATTTGCACATTATTATATATGTATATAATATAACACGTTTTCATGAGCAGAAGTTGGTGTTTTAAGATCGACAAGAGTGTTTTTAAGGCTAATTAAGCTGTCCATCTCATCAGAAATAACATCTGTCTGTTTTCTTACTCAAATATACACAAACAGCACTCTATCCAACTAAACCATCTCTCTCACTCAGAATCACACACACCCTTTGTAAAGATTCTGGAGGTTCAGCCTTTAAACACTTGTCACAGTCACTCTTTGCTGTTACAGAACAATGATGAACTGCTTCAAGTGCCATTCCACTGCCTGCACCTCTGTCTGTTGCCAGGATGTTTTCTTCCTCCGGGTAGCTTTACCTTAAAGTGAGCAGAAAAATAAGTTTGTAATTTAAAGGATCATTATCAGGAAGAGTCCATCCATTGCGGCGCAGGTCGATCCGGTTGCATCTGGGATATTTTTATTTTTATATCCCAGTTGCATCTGGGATATCTATTTATTTATTTATTTGTTATTTTAATTTTTTCTCCCACTTCTATTGGCTATTAGGGTTCTTGCCTGCCTGTGGCTGGGGTCGGTGAGGCACGGTCGTGGCGTCCCACTCTCACTAACAACTACATTCTTTGACAGGTTTATGCGCACACACATGTACACACACATACAGACACACGCACACAGACACACACAGTCTCACACAAGGACACAAACAAATTTAGGTTGTCCCTGATAGAGTTATTCTTGATGCTTTTCTTTCAGTTACTTATTGTTATTATTCATGTCTGTGTTGTGTTGCTTATTTGTGTTTGACTGTTTCGTGTTTTCATTTCTCTCTTAGTTGTCTTACTATGTCACTTATTTATTGCTGCTGTTCGGCTGGTTGTCTTGTATTATTATTATTATTGTTTGTTTGTTTGTATGCTTTTGTTTTTTTTTTCTCCGCTCCAAGCCCCCCTCTCTGTTCTATTGCAGGTTTAGTTGCTTTCTGCAATTGGTGTTTCCCTTTGCTATTCCCTGTTGTCCCCACCCTCCATCCCCCTTCTCTTGCAGGTGTTGTCCTTTCTCTATGCTGTCTGTTTGTGCGATGTTTGTGACCCCCCATCCCCATGTCTGCCCCGTGTCCGGCCCGGTGATAAATCAATACATAATTAAATAAATAATAAAACAGACAAAGGAGTATATTAATACTGTTGTTAAAGTAAAATCTGTCAGGCACAATATGGTATCCAGCTCATCATACTCTATACCAGGCTGCTGGGCAGGACAGGTTTAAAAAAAAATAATAATAAAGATGACGCCTCAGACAGCCGCCTCTGGATTACGCTCTGTAGTGCTTTTTGTGTTTTTGTATTTAAATTCTGTTTTCTTCTGTCCCTCCCTGGGAACATTTAACAGAGAAGAGCTCTTAAACATTGGACTTCCAACTGCTCACACTTTTCCACCACTCTTTATTGAACATGGAACTTTCCCTGAGTTATTAGTTGGAGGAGCAGCCACTCTGTACAGGATATACCAGAGACGCCAAAGGGGGAAGCGTGCTGGTGCACTGGTTAAATTGAGACCGCGGGGTTTTCGCACTGCGCTCCCTGACAAATGTCCACTCTCTGGCCAACAAAATAGATGAACTGCTGCTCCTCAACAGAACTAACTAGGACTAATGTAGGACTTCCGCCCTCTGTTTTACTGAGTCCTGGCTCACCGAGCATATCCCGGACAGCGCACTTCACCTACCAGGATTTAATTTCTTCCGTGCGGATCGTGTAACGGAGTTGTTCTGGTCGCCGTTTACATTCCACCTCAGACCTGTGTTAGTGAGGCGTTACTACACCTGGCCGACCAGATAACTACCGTGGAGAAAAAACACCCAGACTCCCTGCTAATTGTTCTTGGGGACTTCAACAGAGCAAACCTCAGCCACGAACTCCCAAAGTACAGACAGCATATCAAGTGTCCCACCAGGGACACTGACACACTAGACCACTGCTACACTACATTAAACGATGTCTATCGCTCTGTTCCCAGTCCAGTCCTGGGACTCTCATACAAGCAGAAACTGAAATCTGCTACACCTGTTGTGAAGAGTGTGAAAAGATGGACCAGCGAGTCAAAGCTGGAGTTACAGGCCTGCTTTGACTGCACTGACTGGAGTGTTTTTGAGACTGCAGCCACTGACCTGGACGAACTAACTGACACTGTGACATCTTACATCAGTTTTTGTGAGGGCATGTGTGTGTCGACTAAAACCTTCTGCACATACAACAACCAAGAACCCTGGTTCACAGCAAAACTCAGGCAGCTTTGTCAAACCAAAGAGGAGGCCTTCAAAAGTGGGGACAGAGTCCTGTACAACCAAGCCAGGAACACACTGACTGAAGAGGTCAAAGCTGCAAAGAGGAGCTACGCTGCAAAGCTAGAAAAAAGCTTCACAGCCATCGACCCCTTGTCAGTGTGGAGAAGCCTGCGGACACTTACTAACCACAGGAGACCATCCCCCAACACTGTTGGTACTCAACGACTGGCTGACGAGCTGAATGGTTTTTACTGTAGGTTTGAGAAACCCACAGTCACACCTCTCCCCCACTCCATCACCATCTTCAAACAATCACCTTACCCCATTGCCACGCTATCACTCACTTCTCTGACCCCTCACCTGCACTCATGATCTGTGAATAGGAGGTGAGCCAGCTCTTCCAAAGGTCAAAATGTGTTTTTCTATATGTAACGCTAATGTTTAAATACATTTCACTTACTCATAACTTAACTTCAACTATTGATCCTGAAGTCTGAAGTAAAAAAGTTAGACTATTATTAATATAATCAATTTCACCACATCGCCTCCGAGAGCAATCAGTTCTGGCTAAAGTTTTAGCAGTGTCTTTTCTCATCTGCAAAAACTCAATTGTGCTGCTATAGTTAGCTCCTAGCTAACTTAACTTATTTAACTAACTAGTTACCTTTGAGGGTTGAACACAAGTGGTTTTCATACAAATGTGCTTACCTTGTGTTTCACATTTGCTTCTCTGCAGAATTTCTTCACATCCGTAACCTGCTAATAACGCGCTTGATAAGATCAGTGCCAATCTATCTTACCTTTCGATAAGCAGTTGCTAGCCATCCAGCCTCCAGTAGAGTTAACTAGAGCACCACATTTTGCAAAAGAGCAAAAATATTGGAATATTTTGTTTTATACTTTACCTTTGCTTTCTGATGTTCTTTTAACGACATACTGGAACCATCTTTCCCTTCTGGTTTTTGGCATTTTTTCTCTGCTTCAGGAACAGACCCAAGTTGTTGATATTAATGCAGAAAGGGCACTGAATAAATGTGTGAGTTTGTGAGTTGTTTGGTAGAGAAAACATGACATTTAATTTACACTTAATGACACACATTTGTGCAAGTGTGAGAAATTGGATACCTCAGTGGGCCAAATCCACATTTTCATTTGACTCTTTTAGTGGAACCGTCTTGAAGTTCTTTAATGGAACCAAACATGTTAAAGATCAGATTGTCAAGGAATTTCTTAAATGTAGAGACCTCACAAACAAGGTAGACAAGTACATTAAACGGTGCTGAAGATACTGTGAAAGAACTATTTTATGATATGCACAATAGCATACAAGAGACAGTTAAGTCATCACAACTGTCAGAGAATGTAACAGGTTTTTGTCCAGTGAATGTTCCAGTATGGCATATGCTTGCTATCGAGGATCTTTTTGGTGTGAATGCTGTTAGAATGAGGATGATTTAAATAGGCTTGCCTGCATCAGTTCTTTTATTCAAAACAGTAATACCTCTTGGAGACATAAATGCGGATATCTCAGATAAGAAGTCACTATGTGCCACACATATAATTCAATTTTCTGGAGATGATAATTTTATACTGTCAAACACAGTATTGTTGCTCACAGACAGTTATACTTACATTAGTGAGGCCTGGCACAGAACATCATGGCTGGACCACTGTATCAGTACAGCTGAGGGGTGTATGAGCATTTTGTATGGGGTAACAACAAGTGACCACATATCTGCTATGTTGATGCTGAACACATACCTGTGCTATCCAGATGTGAAAACAGTGTCAATAGTAAATTTTCTGTATGAAGGCAGTAAGCCCTATTATAAACATAGAAATAAGAACCATAACAACAAGCCTGGCATGGGAGACAACTAAGGTCCTGTGTTTGAGCATAAGAAGCTCACTAATGCAAGATATAAGTATGCCATTAACTTTAAATAACAATAAAAAGTATCATATTTGATTATGTGTCAGCATTGGGTGCTGAGTGCACAGACAGAGGCAGTTTTTGGGCCCAAATGCAAAACACAAACTTAGCTGGTTCCGTTTTCAGGAAGATTTATTTAACAAAACTCAAAATGTACAACTTACTGTAGGTTCAAGTCCAACCTTAAAGACAGCAATCCAGAAAACAAGGTATCCACAAAGAATGAAAAATCCAAAAAGAAAACATAATGTCCAAAATCCACAAATAGTAAAACAAAGAATTGTCCAAGCTGACAATAACCAATATTCCAGGAAACACAATTACAGTGAGCAGAGTAACAAGGAATGCAGGACAGAGAATCAGCTTCACAGACAGACTCGCATGGCTTGAGCAACAGCAGTAGCAAACAACAAACTAAAACAGGAAACAGGCAGACACATAGACCAACTGGCAGACAAGAGATCATTTCAAAATAACCATGACATGCATACTGAACCAAGAAACACAGACAAAACAGACCTCCTCAAAATAAGACAAAGAAACAGACAGAGACAAAGAGCACAGAGCAGAACAGGTCAAACCTTTTATTTCAATTTTTTCAACACAGAACATAGGCTAATTGAAAAAGCTGGAAACTAGCTTATCTAAAACATGACAAAAAAGAGCCAAGAAGGAATTTTAGGCTACAGAATCCTAAAACAATTAGTACAAATTTTTAATTAACTATTTACATCAATAGCACACACAAGAACTGAACTGAACTGTGTCCGCCTCAATATGATTGCTTTAGTCAACCGAGGGTCAGTGGTCGTGGTGGTGGGCTAGTGAGCGTGTATAGGAAACATTTTAAATGTCATCAAGTACGCTGTGATGAATTTAGCTCCTTTGAAGTTCTCACTCTTAAAGTTGGAGGGCTGCAACCTATCATATTTGTTATAATTTATCGCCCACCAAAACCGCCTGGAGGATTTTTATCAGAACTTCCTGAATTTTTATCTACTCTGGTTTTAAATTATGACAGAATTGTTCTTTGTGGCGATTTTAATATTCATGTTGATGACCCCAACAATGTTAATGCAACTGACTTTTTAAATATGGCACGTACCTTGAGATCCTCGGGCAGAGGTCTGTTGTCTGTTCCAGAGTCTCGACTGAAAACTAAAGGGGACAGAGCGTTTGCTGTCAGGGCCCCGAGGCTCTGGAACAGCCTGCCCGAGGAAATCAGGTCGGCTGAGTCAGTGAACTCTTTTAAGTCCCTTCTTAAAACATACTTTTATAGGAGAGCTTTTCCCGATCTTATTTGACTTTATTTTATCCCTTTTATTTTATTGTATTTTACTAATTTTATATTAAATTTTCATGCTCTTATCTTTTTTTTGTATTATTCTTTACACTTGTTAAAGCACTTTGTAACTTGTTTTTGAAAAGTGCTCTACAAATAAGGATTATTATTATTATTATAAGAAGGCCATGAGCGCATCTTCAATGTATGCGTGGGGCCAGCAGCTTCAGTCAGGACTCTGCCTTCTCCCTGGACATTCAGTTGACTCAATTCACAACATCCCATCCTTCCCCTTTTCCACAGCCGTCTCTGGCCAACATGACTCATAGGGAGCTCCAGTTGGCTCAAGAGAAGGAAGGCTTACTGGTTTGGGAGGGATTATAACAATAATAATAGCATAAAATAGCATGATGATGATATATATATATATATATATATATATATATATATATATATATATATATATATATATAAAAAACTCCAACATACTCAGTTAACTGTTTCTGATTAGCCAATTTAACCTACAATTTGTATTTGTTAGCAAAATAGCAACACTATACAAATACTCAGGAGCGCTAGTGATGTTTCTATTGACAGTGTGAGAGACAATGGTCAACCGCAGGAAATATAAGCAGAAGAATGATGCAAAATTCCAAGGGGCATATGATTATTAATGGCTGAAAAAGGTATAAAATAGGCTGAAATAAGTATTATAGGGCCTTTTTTTTTTTTTACCTTATGTAATTTACATAAAACACATGTCAGCAGGATTTAATTAAATTTTTCAACAAAGTTATTGCACATGTAAATTTCAAACCAGTCAAAATGACCATGATGGCCATTCTAGCGTTAAGTGCAACATGAAGACCATTTCTCATGTTTCCAAGTCTGGATAGTATATCGGCTACTTCTTCATGCAAATTAAAGCCATCAATACCGTTTAGAATCATCTTTTCAACAATCCTTAAAATAATCCACATTTTTCATACGTTATTGGTATTATTCAATATTTAAAGCCAACAATCCAGTTTAGCTCCCAGCCAGTAGTCAAGTGATGCAGTTCAGCTTCTAGCTAAAACTATATTTTGTATCCTTTAACCGATTCATTACATTACATCACATTTATTAATTTAGCTGATGCTTTTATCCAAAGCCACTTACAATTGCTATATATGTCAGAGGTTGCACACCTTTGGAGCAACAAGGAGTAAAAGCAGCTTTTCCACTGCATAGTACCAGCTCAACTCGCCTTTGCTTGGCTTTCCATTGTGGAAATGTTGTACCTGTACCTGCTTCCAGGTACTTTTTTTCGTGTCACCTCACCTCCATTGAGGTTCCAAGCGAGCTGAGGCGATACTAAAATGTGACGTGAAAACACGGCAGACTACTGATAGGTCACACAGAATCACAGAGTCACTATTCACTGCATCATCATTGCGTGCGCCAGACAGAGGCCAGCAACAGAAAGTTTTATATTTTACAGTTTTCGTATAGAATTTCATCACTAAATCCATTTCTGATGTTTTATGAAAAGTGATGGCGGAACAAACAAGCTGTGTGGATCGCTGGTGTGTGTGTCGCATTGAACATTGGCATCGCTATAACGACCAGCTACACTATCTAGGGGTACTATCTGCAATAGAAAACGGAGCACGGCCAAACTGAGGCAAGGCGAGTTCAACTGGTAATGGAAAAGCGCCAAGTGTCTTGCTCAGGTTCAGGGACACAGTGGTGGATGTGTTACAGTGGGGAATTGAACCCGTTACTCACATCAAAGGCATGTGTCTTATCCCTTACGCCATCACCATCACCTGCCCGTTCCCACCCTCTATTCATAGTCTTTCTTACGCTTTTTCGTACATTTTTCAACTCTAATCATTCAATTCTTTCTAGTATTTCTCTATTCAAACCTTATGATGTTCCAAATCTTATTATTGATAATTAAGAATTATTGATATTATTGAACTTTTAAAGCCAGCAAGTCAGTTTAGCATCAGCCTTTCAGAAATTGCTTCTCTGGTTACAGAGATTCTCAGAAGTACATTGTGTGTATCCTTTATGGCCTAACAAAACATTTCCATACTCACAAAGCATTTGTATAGCCAGTTTTTCAATATTTCAACAATTCATTTATACATGCGTTTTTCCATTGGTTAACCATCTTTTTCTACATCTTGTATAGTTATATTTCTTGGAGCTTTAGCACCATCAACTGTTGTTTGGTATAACAGCATGAAACATATGACTTGCATCCACTACACACTTTCATTATTACTTTTCACCCTCTGCAGTCAGCAGGAAAGCGTAGGCATCACATGTGCAACCTTGTGCATATAAATGTTGAGTGGGAGATACAAACAGAACAGAAAACATCTCATTAAAATGTTGCTGCATAACACCACTACTGGTCAAAAACTCCACAGAACACCTATTACTTAGTTTATCAGTTTTTTATATCTCAGTCTGAGAGCAAATGTTTATAAATGCTTGATGGAAAAAGGCAACAATGACTGCCCAGAGTCTTTTGTAGTGAGAGTTAGATGGAGGGCAGCAGCAGTGGAGGAGTGACTGATACATTACTTGTTTGACAGGAAGAGACAACAGAGTGTGGTCGGAGCAAAACTGAGGTAATAATGAGGCCAAGGAGATCAAAGTTCTGTGAGAATAAAAGCAGTCAATACTGTCAGACTTTCTTCTGTCAGGAAGACAAAATGATCAGCGTCTCTACATTTGTAGAAAAGTCTTCTTGAAACAAAAAGTACATCAATACAGCAATTGAAGGTGAAAGTAAGCATGTATAATGATATGATAATTCCCTAAAGAAATAAAAGATGTTTAGTAGTTGCCCATCATTCCACTATGGTGACAGCACTATCAGTGAGGTGTCTATATCTGTATCATTAATGAGGTCTTAACCAGGAGAAGCCCCTCCCTCTAGTACATGGAGGGAGAAGGGTTACTTTGGTGATGCTTTGATAGCTGGTGATTCTTGTTGTGCATGAGCCAGGTGGGGTAGAACTGTAGGTCACAGTCTTCTGCTTCATGCTACATTACCAGTTACGCAACTCTCATTCATGAATCTTGGTTAATCATGGGTTAAGTAAACTGCAAAATACATCCACAAAATGTTTGGCAATATAAATACAGCTTCTTATTTTGCTTGTGATAAGTGCACATGGTACAAGCATGATAAGACACTTTCAAGTTTCCTGATGGGGAAAATATTGTGATAACTGAAGAACCTCAACCATATTATTATTATTAAAAAATCAGGACACTTTGTCATATTTTATCACTTACTAAATCATGGCTCAACAAAATACAGACAGTAGGGTTAAACTGCTTCTCCTTCTTCTCAAACCATATCTGTCACTACAGTTGTTCCATGAGAAAGAGATATCTCCATTTGATTTCAGTCCAAAAGTAGCTTCATTGGCATGACAGCATGCTACAATGTTGCCAAAGCACGTTATCACAAACATTCATAATGAACAAAATAAATAATACAAAAAGGATTCAATAAACAATTCTCTATAATAAAGATTCTCATCAGTGGACTATCTACTTTGCAATGGGTTTCCCCCAAGGTTATCCCTGGCAAACCAGTGATTGCTTGTTGATGTAAAGCGCATCATTACCAATGCGCTAGCTCACAGACACCATTTTTAAAATCTCTGGTATACTGTGAAATATACAGAGATTTACCCATTGGTTATAGGCTTAATCAGCATTGTGTGAGCTCAATTGGCAAGGCTCTCCAGCTTTAAACCTCTATGGAGTGATGTGTCAACAACTAGTCCAATGAATACATAAGCTTTGAATTAAAATGTCTGCTGTGTGCAATAACACAGTTCTGTAAGAGGTATCCTGAAAAGAACACTTGATGAAAGTACAGAACATCAAAAAGTACACCTCCTTATACTGTACAGACTGATACATCTTTTGAGACTGCTGAAACATTACCTAGATTATCTCAAGGGTCATCAAGATAATAACTTTCTCCTTGCAGCTATTAACTTGCAACCATTTTCCTGAAAGCTCTTATATTGTCAGCCGGATAAAAAAAAAATGAACACTCCGCCTCTTTACGTTGAGACCACTCTTACTGGAGCACAGTTCAGTTACAAACATTGCAGTGGTGCAGTCAAACTGTACGCACAATGATGAACTTTACCTTGGTAACAGCTTTACTCTGTACCTTCAGTAAGTACAACTTCTGATTTCTTCTCAATTGCTAGCTTTCCTTCAGTATAGTAATCTGCCAGGGCTGAAATGTACAAACTATTGATTAATACCATGACTTACGTACATTGTTTGGTTACTGCTGAATTAGAGGTTTAGAAAATAAGTTACTGTTTGTTTCAGGTTGGATCTCTGTCTCAGTTTCTGAATTTCACACTGTGGAGGTTCAGCCTGGTGAAGAAGTCACACTGATGTGTTCCAACTTTAGCAGTTTTCCCTCCAACATAATCTGGTTCAATCTGGACAACAGATCCAATGCCAGCTGCATCTCCTCTATGTTCAGCTCTGATGCCAATGCTTCGTTCTGTGAAGGATTTCAAAACAGCAAATTTAATATGACGTCCAACACCACGACCATCTTTCTCAAGATCAAACAAGTGGATTTATCTGACTCTGGACTGTATTTCTGTGGATTTTACTCATATGGAAACTCAGTAATCATCAATGCAACTTATTTAAAGGTTCAAGGTAAGATTGTTGTGAAGTCTCGTCCGTCTTTCGAATCAAAAGAAGCAGACATGCACTGTTTTCATTCACTGTCAAAATAAGGACTATATATCAGCCTACAAGAAGTAGAATAGTATACAAAAAGTTTAATTTAATTATCTGTCTTGTAGAAGCGTCTGATGGAATGACAAAGGTAACGATTGTTGTCCTGTGTGCTGTGATAATTTTCGTGGTTATAGTCGCCATCGGTCTGGGTGTCAAAATAAGGAATCTCCACACAGGTATTTGTATTTAAGTTGCAAATGCTAACTTATACAAATGCAGAAGTTCCTGTTTTATATTATAACTATATTTTTGAATTAACTGACAATTAACTGACCAGATGTTTCTGTCATTTAGCACATAAAGAGGAATGGAATCAACAACACAGTGAGGTAATCAAAGATTAACCAAAGATTGATCCAAATCAGTTTTGTATGTTGTCTGGTTCATCATTTATCATTTAATTATTTTATGTTTTCTCACAAACTCAGCCATGTTATATGAGTGACTGTAAATATTTTTATTTACAGAATCTGGGCTCTGATGCCCTGAACTATGCAGCACTGAGTTTCCGCCCAAAAGCAATAAGCAGCAGAAGGCCTGAATCAGAAAACCAGATGGAGCCAAATGTTGTATATGCTGCCACCAGATAGACTCAGGAAACATCTGGAACAGCAGCTCAGAGTGGAACTGATGATTTATCATATCAAACTTCTATTAAAGGAGGATTTACCATCAAAAAAGTCTAATTTTGTAATAAAGATTCTGTATTCATCCAAAGTGTGCTATCTCTGCTACAATTTAAACTGTCCAACCAAAGGCACCCTAGTTATTTTGCTTGTTTTAGAGTAAAAGATTGTGATTAGTGGTTGATGGAGGAGGAGCCAGTAATGACATTGGTGACTAGTCTCTTTTAGTGAGAGTTGGAGAGATGGAGTTCTGCAGCAGTGGTTTGCATGTTTGGCAGGAAGTGTGTGGTGTGAGCACAACGGAGGTGAAAATCATGAGACCTGTTAGATCAAAGCTCTAGTGAGAATAAAGTCTGGAAATAACGCAGTGAATGCTGTCTGATTTTTTTTTTGTCAGGAAGACAAAATCTTTTAGCAAACTATAGACCTATATCTAACCTTCCATTTCTCTCTTAGATCCTTGAGAAAGTAGTGTGACTTTCTACATAGCAATAGTTTATTTAAGGATTTTCAGTCAGGATTTAGAGTTCTGACAGGAACCAGGAAAAGAGATCATATTTCTTCTGTTTTAACTTCTCTGCATTGATTCCTGTAAAATCCACAATAGAATTTAAAATCATTCTTCTCACCTACAAAGCTCTTAATGGTCAGGCACCATCTTATCTTAAAGAGCTCATAGTACCTTACTACCCCACCAGAGCACTGCGCTCCCAGAATGCAGGGTTACTTGTGGTTCCTAGAGTCTCCAAAAGTAGACTAGGAGCCAGAGCGTTCAGCTATCAAGCTCCTGTCCTGTGGAACCAGGTTCCAGTTTGGGTTCAGGAGGCAGACACCATCTCCTCATTTAAGAGTAGGCTTAAGACTTTCCTCTTTGATAAAGCTTATAGTTAGGGCTGGCTCAGGTGAGTCCTGAACCATCCCTTAGTTATGTGGCTATAGGCCTAGACTGCCGGGAGATTTCCCATGATGCACTGAGCTCCTCTCTTCTCTTCTTTCTCTCCCTCTCTATGCAACCTCATCCCATTAACTCGTCCCATTAATGTTACTAACTCGACTTCTCCACTTTCCGGTAGTCTTGTGCTTTCTCGTCCCTCTCCTCTCTCTTCCTATCACTTCCTGCAGGTGTTTCTGGCTCTGGAGCTGTGGAGTCTGGATCTGTGGTTGCGAGTCACCTGCTGCCCCTGTGTTCCTGCTCAACACCCTCTGCTACAATTATTGTTACTAGTCCTATTGTTATTATTGTAATTATAATCATTAACATTACGATTATAATCATTAACACTACTATAAATATCTGTACCATTATCCACTAACTTGCCAATAAATTATGTCAATTGACTCCTGTCAATCAGAGACCACATGGAGCTGCAATCAACATGGGTTTGAACCACAAATTTACACTCAAAGTAAATAAAAACATCCATCACACATTAATTCACACACAATTTTATTTATTTATTACATCCTGTTTGAACAGGAAATTACATTTAATTCAGAAAAGTCAGATTTCAAAGTGACTTACAACATTTTGAGCACAGACAGAACAAAACACAACATGTATACACTGAACTGTCTGGGGTTTTATCGGCGCACAATCCCCCTAGGCGCTCAGGGTCATAACGGACCCATTTTTGAACCATGACAGCAAAGATGAACTCCGACCCCTCCATTCCCTCTCCTTTCATCTGTTGTTGTAATGCATCTAAAGAATAAAAAACAAACACGAAGTTTGAAATGCACATTTTCTTTGGGGTGTGTCAGTTTTAGAGAACAGTTGTAACTAATTATCTCTGTTGCAGTTTTCTGCTTTTTCCCCCCCAATTTCATGCATTTAACCCATAGATTGTTTTGATCAGATATTGGCAAAATATGAATATATTAAATATTACAAAGCATTCCCATTAAAACACATTTCAGCTCCTGGCTAATCCAAAAAATGGGACAAAGTCAGGGCTCAACATTAAACTTTTTTGCAAGACAATTTTAACTGGCCCTCGTTTCAAAATCAGTGTTACAACTAAACCAAAGACTTGTGTTATACTATTAACATGTTTAATCGTTTATTAAATACATCCTGGATATAAAAAAAACTATAATGTAATCACACTTGAAATTATAAAAAATAAAAAGGTAATAGTTAACAAAACAATTTACTTTTAAAACAAAGCCCTGGGCAAAGTGGAGGCAGGCCGAATGAAGCCTGGTCGCTGAAACCAGCCACCTATGCTGGCGCCGACCTGTCATCTGTCTCAAAGAGTGTCCTTACTTATGCATATATTTAAGCCTTAATATAATTTGAACGAGTGAGTTATATGAAAATTCTCCCCCTGTGCAGTTTTCGTGAAGGAAGACCGAAAATGTATATGGCAGTAAACATGGGGGTCTAGGGTTAGGGTTAGGTCTTTTATCAGTGGAGGAGCGCTAACGTTAATGAGCCGTTAAACAGTAGTTTCTGAAGTATTCTAAATATATCTGTGAGCTGCTTGTCTGCAGTCAGTCTTCATGTCTGAAATGATTAAACCAGAGCGGACATGTAAATAAACGTGAACTGAATAAGAATCTAACACAGCTTCCTGTAGCTCAGGCTCTTTGTGTGACGTTGTAGTCAGAGCCGTAATGGCTCCGGTTGTAGTTATAACGTTAGTTAAATGAAGTCTCAAAGCTGCAGGTCCTCGTTGTAGACAGTTTTAGATGCATTCAATAGCAACTCAATGTATATCATAGACGGCATGATTTAGACAGATGATGAGAAATGGTTTCTAGTAGCTTTGGTTAGAATTAAAGAGTGCTGGTAAAGGGATGACCTAGATGTGTATGTGCTACATTGAAATGATGGCAGATTAGGTGTAAAATGAAACACACATGCTTATTCTTTCTCACTCTCTCTGTTTACAGATGACATTCCAGCAACAAATATTTATTGATGTGCAATTGTTTTCATGTTCACTTTTTGAGACGGTGATCTATTTTATTAACATGAACCATTTAGGAAAAGGTTTTATAAGCCCACATACATACCAGCTTTAAATATCAGGGTCTACTATCCAAATAATTCTCTAAATCTAAATATTGGCTCATAAATCGGCTCTTTTTTACTTTAATATCGGCATTGGCCCCCAAAAGCCCATATCGGTCAGGCTCTACCCAGGACCTCAAGTTGGCGCTCCCTCACCAAGAAATCCCAGCAGAAAATGTACGATCTTTGTCAGATCTGCCAAAGACCTCACCTCCTCCATCATCATCTGGTACACTGCTGTTACTGCAGTGTATCATTCACTGCAGGATGCAGTGTATCATTCACTCGGCAGAGAAGGTGACTGGCTGTATTCTACCATCCCTCCTCCTCTCAGATGAACCTTTGCTCATATAAATCCCATGTAAAAAATTTTGCACAAACTTTAATTTAAATAGCCATATTGTACATGTTTAATTTTCTAGGAAACACTGCTGTCATAATTTTTTATGTTATTGTCCATTTTATATGTATGACTATATTTATGACCTGCAGTACTTACTTTCTAATATTTTGTACCTAGGTTTATTGTTACCCATCAAAATACCACAGCAAATTCCTTGTATGTGTAAACATACTTTGCAATAAAGTTGATTCTGATTCTTACTGCCCTTGTAACAGTTTTCTCCATTCTTTACTGACAATAACTTACTAAACATGCACATCTTGAGCCTGGTGTCCCTGAATGCAGCTTTTTGCTTATGAGTGTCTTTCAATTTTTTCCCTGCCCAGTTCATTTGAGAGGCCAGCTCGTTGGTTAGAGCGCATCCTCCGGATACGTGCCTCTACTGATGCTCCTCCCACAGTGAAAAACGGGCAACCTAGAAGGGGGTCGTATTTGGATAGGTTACAAAATGCAATGTACATGGGAAATTACGGAGTGGTGAAAGAAAATCTTCTTTTAAAAAACTAAAGATTTAAATTACCATCGCAAGCCTGGCATCTTCATCTTGAAGAATCAGCTCAGCTTCTTCTAATTCAGTCATGTGTTTTAGTGGTATTGACAGAGGTAACGGGGGAGCAATTGGTGCACCTATAGACGGAGTTCTTTAACTTCCGAAACAAGTTCTGCCAGGGTTTCGGTTAGTTTGCAAAAAGCAATGTCTTAAAAGGGAAAGCAGATGGAAAAAAGGAACCCTGTCAACAACTGGTATGATGCACTGCCTTAAAAGTTTTCATTAACCTTAGCGCATTCTACTTATTACTGTTGCAACCTAATTTCATTAATTGAGTCAGCTGGCTTCCCTGACAAAAATATTGATTGTATAAACTTAATTACTTGCCTTTTATTACTTGCGCTGATTCAGGAGATCCCATCCTCTGTCCTTTAAAGGATGAAAGAGGGAAAAGTAAGTAATATTCAACACCTGTTGCAGGCACAAATTGGCAGAAATTTGCTGTGTCTTGTTCAAGAGTGGCTTGACACAAGGAATGCGACTCTGAAACCCATGTCTTGCATACGTCTGTGCGTGGTGGTTCTTGAAGCACTGACTCCAGCTGCAGTCCACTCTTTGTGAATCTCCCCCACATTTTTGAATGGGTTTTGTTTCACAATCCTCTCCAGGGTGCGGTTATCTCTTTTCCTTCCCTTCACCTCTATTAATATGCTTGGACACAGAGCTCTGTGAACAGCCAGCCTCTTTAGCAATGACAAGTGTCTTGCCCTCCTTGTGCAAGGTGTCAACGGTCGTCTTTTGGACAGCTGTCAAGTCAGCAGTCTTCCCCATGATTGTGTAGCCTACAGAACTAGACTGAGAGACCATTTAAAGGCCTTTGCAGGTGTTTTGATTTTCACAATATTCTAAATTTCTGAGATACTGATTAGTTGTCAGTTATAATCATCAAAATTAAAAGGAATGAACACTTGAAATATATCAGTCTGCGTGGAATGAATGTACACATTATACAAGTTTCACTTTTTGAATGGAATTACTGAAATGAATCAACTTTTTGATGATATTCTAATTAAATGTACAGCAACTGTAGTTGGAGGAGAAGCCACTCTGTACAGGATATACCGGAGACGCCAAAGGGGGAAATGTGCTGGTGCACTGGTTAACCTCTTAATATTCCAACGGCTCACCTATGAAGTCTTATAGTAATCCACCGATCGATTATAATCCAACAAAAATGGTCTTGTTACGTTGTCAAAGGTCCAGACGATCCAATCCAGTAAAAACATTTAGCCCAAAACACATTATTCCATCAGTAAATCCGAAGGGACGGCTGCGGTATCGTTTCATATCTGCCGGCAGACGTGGCTCGTATGTCATTATAACCGTAATA